AACCCCAAACTGGGTTCAAACGCGGTGTCCTTAATCCCGCCTCCAACCTGCGAATGGTCCGCAAACATCGACGACAAGCTGTGCATGCATGAGCATGCCGCCTGTGGGCTTCGAAGCTAAGCGGGATGCCGCCAGCCACGCTGCATCAAAGTGGAAGCACACCATCAAGATGTTACGAGACCAAGCCCTGCAGAGCAGAATTCCGTGAAAGCCACTAGTGGTCCAGTGCGGAGTCCCCGCCTGCGCGCGCTACGCCAAACGACCAAAAGCAACAGAACAACACACCCAAAACATGTTCGGTCAGCGGAAAACATGGCCAAACCCCGGCGCACAGGGATCGGGCTCGACTGTCGGTAAGGGGAGTCGACTTGGGGCAACCACCCACGGCTGCTTCAGTCGCCAACCCTCCAAGCAATCCCGCAGAAACCGGGAAACGCGGAATAACCTACAACCGAACCACAACCGCCTTTCTTATCTCGCTCCGAGACCTTGCGCCTTGAGCCGCTCATGTGTGCAAATGAGAAGCCGGACTCACAAAATCCTTCGAACCTTTCAACCCCACCCCTTTTCACGCAACTAAGATGCAGCAACATGTTGGGCACTTGGCCCTATCCTACTTTTCTTTGTTTCCTGGAGCCTGTACCCTGAAAAGCATCCAAGTGACCTTCGATGCTGAGGATCTTCGCTCATTCGTTACTCAACTTGTTTAAAGCGAGCTGGCCTTTGCAGCAAGCTTCAGGGGCTTGAACCCAGCCCTCATGCACCAAATCGTTCGTGTTTCTTCACCATTGAGGGGTGCTTCCTACGTCCCTTGAGTAAGTCGGGTCACGATGGTTCATACGAGCATCCTTTGAAGGGGCACTCAGTACATAGACTCACCAATGCTTGTGAGGAACCATATTCAATTTTATAAACCCTACCCAGTGTGCAGTCCATGAACACACCTCTGGGTGCCCGGAGTATCAGGGTTGGCGTGTTCGGAATTGCATATTTCTGCTGAGCAGTCGGCCGCCAAACTGTAGCCACCACCAGACCTGGCCTGCCCATGCGCAACTTAATTTTCCAGACTCGATGTAGCAGGCTTTTGCCAATACGAGATTCCGGACTAGTACCTTGTTTGCTCCCTGTCTTACTAAAGCGGCAGCTTTTAGCTGGCAATCGGGTTGACTCTGTTGAGTTCTACTGGAAACGATCCCGGAAAATGCCTTCACAGCACAGGCTGCTCACAAGCAGCAAGCCACACTCAAGCCACACTCTTGCCTATCCAACGTCTGAATGCTCCAAGATCCAAAACAGTAGATGCAAACGAGCTCACAACTCACGAGCGTCACGCACGCGCGGAATGGAATCGAAAAGCCTACTCCCGAAGCCCAAAGTCGAATCTTCACAAAGCCCCTGAGAAGCATCAACGCCCCGCCCCCCTTAGCGTCAGGCACGAAGACGGATGCATAGCTATTGATGCTCACTGTACCCATACAAATGATATCTGGAGCAACAGACTCTGAATCCTGAGGTACCAGATTCTCAATCCTACGATGACTTTATGATGCACATGATTTGCTGAACCCGAAACCCTGGAAGTCTGCCTTCACTCCACAGGACGTCCCAGGCAGCGGAACTGACCGTGCACCTGGCCAAGGCAGAATATGCTGCGTCTGCCCGAAGCGGTTTAAGTACAACTCACCTACATACGCGGAAGGTTCCCTGATGGAATGACCATATGAGCAGAATAGAAGTCAACGAGTCAGATGCGCCAGCTTTGCTGAATGCATTTGTGAGGGAGTTCGTGGACTGCGGGCCAATGGTACTAGTAGAAGGCATGACCCAGGACATGAGGAACTTCGATTGCTTTCCTAACCCGCTGCGAGCACACACACACACAGTCTCTCTTTAGCTGCATCGCAAAAGGTCTGAGATACATCGACACTCAACAACTGATGGAGCCTGCAACTCTCAACACTTCCAACAAAAACGCGTCATCAACTGTGCCGGCGAAGCCGTGATCGTCAGGCAAGTGCAGGGTCCGTCACATGCCTGCCGAGGTCCCCACCCAGCATTGGGACTCGCTTGGAGGCGGCCTCTCCGCCCCTCCCCCCCCCACCTCTTCCCCACCTCTTCCCCACACTGAAGAGCTCAGCAGGAAGATTCTGAATCCCTCGGCCAGGCATGGCTGCTAGACAAGGCTGTGAACTTTGAGCCCCCGCAAACCGAAATTCATCAGCACCAGAACCTCAAATTCTTTCCTGCGAAAATTTCTCCTAAGCCTTGCAAGAAGGAACCCCCGAATCCACATCTCGACTTCTACTAGGCCCTGGATTCAATACGGCGGTCCTCCATTGACTGGGTCTCGACGGCGACGATCTGCGCAAGTTGGCCATTCTTTGGGGTTAAGCTACGGCTTGTAAGCCATTGTAAGCAGCTTGGAAGGCTTGGAACTTCAACTGGAAGGCTTGGAACCCTGTCACAACTCGTTTTTGGCTTTCGTTGGCACCTTAGATGTGAATTCTTCATGCAAGCCTTGTGGGAAACCACGAGCTCGTGATGCTCCATGCTACCTTGCGTTTCAACAGCCTGGCTTAGCTGCCTCATACGTGCAGTGCACTGGCACTACAACCCTATAGGCCCTAAACTCATGGAACCTCTCCACGTGAGCTTTACGGAAGTCCTTGAAGACTGCGAAGATTCACGGAGACTTTGCCAGTTGCGGCGAATGCGAGAGCTTTCACTCGACACAGGGTCGCACTGTACAGGCTCCAAGCAACAAGTTCTTCAACCGACATGCCTCCGCGTGAAGCGAAAGACAGGCCGTGCGCCGCGACGGGTTCCCATGGGGCGATCATGGACAAATCGCTCTCTTGAGGCTCAAATCCTGTATCTCAATATCTCCAAACCCTTCGAATACCTTAAACCCAAAAACCGGAGCTGACCTAAGTCCCTCACCCTAAGCCTTCACCCAACGCTTCAGCATGAGGCTTCGGTGCGAAGGGTGGCAGAAAGCCAAGCCGGAGGTTCTATACAGGTTGGAAGTGTGAAAATGGTTTTGGATGCTGTGTGCTGTTGTACTGTTATACATCTTGTGTCGCGGCTACCACGGTAACCAAGATTGAACTAGAGTATCCCCATGAACATAGCCCATGAAAGACGGCCGCTATACACTTGTAAAAGGTTCTCGGTGTCCTGTGGTACTGCTGCAAGGCATGCCACCACGTTTTCAGAAAATGTCTGAAGCCCAGAACCACGGCGCACCAAGGGTCCAATCCCAAAAAGGTTCGGGTTCAGGGTTTCGGGCTTTTCTACATCCATAGTCCAGACTGAAGCCGCAACCCCAAACCCAATGCGTGTGGGCGTCATCCTGGACCACACTCCACCAACCTTGGATCCCCCGGCAACTTCTCAACTCGTACAAACTTAACCCGAAACCGTAAACAGAAAACCCTAAACCCTAACCCCAGGGGGGGATGTAGAAAGTATATCCCTGCGAGGGTTCCTCTACACTACCCAAGAGCGATCTGGGGGTTTACGATAATAAGCCACCCCTACTCTAGACCCCAAATCGTAGGATCGCCATATAAGAAGGACCCCAATAACGTACCCTTAATATCATAAAGCCCCCATTTTGGGCATCAATTTGGAAGGGGGGATGGTGTTCCAGCACTTCATGGCGAGGTGAGCAGACGCATGCAACACTACATAACAAGAACCTCACCATGACATGCGCAGAACAGCAGCAGGATGTTTTGGCACAGTCGAGAGCACTCACGTCTGGAGGCAGCGCCCCGCCAAATCCACCAGCCTCGTAGGCTGTTGCACGCGGGGTTTGCCAAGCCACCCTGACGTCAATCCCCATTACCCAGAACTTACACAAACACCTTGGGCCCTAAAATACACTGCCCAAAAGCCTAAACGACTGGTAGAGACCTTAGTGACTTGAGGTTTAGGGCTTACAGTTAAGTGTTTGGATGAAGCGGTTCTTATTTCAATGGCCAATCAACCTCACAGGAAGTCAAATGCCAATCAACCTCGCAGGAAGAAAATCATATGAGTCTTTCTTATGACTTTGACAAAATATCACCGCGTATCACCGTTATGATTACACCAGCGAAGACTCCACAGTTCAGAGTGGCTTTAACCCCCCAAGAAAGAGCCCTAGACCCGGACTTCAAACGTAGCAAAAACACGGGAATGACCAGAACCGCGCCTCGCGCCATGTTATTTACCCATGCTACTGGGTGGAAGTTGGGGCGGACGTCACACCACTGTACCGTTGAGATTGCCTCTTTCCAGCAACTGCAGCAGTTGGAAACTTTTCTTCGGGAGGTACTTCAGTCGGTACCGGCTGTGTTGCCGCGAAGGGCTCCTGGGTTGAGAGGCTTCACGTAAGGATTCTTGGGAGCTGTTTTAAGCATCTGTTTGAGGGTTCGAAGGTACATTGTTCCCAGCCCGGGCAAGTGGGGGCGGGGGGGTTGTTAGCGCGAGGGCGCTCCGTGGGGGCACAGACCCCGGCACGAACCTACCATGAAGCCAGCACCGCCCACAAACCTAGGTTGACTTGGTGGTCGGTGTTTCCGCCTATACCCCTCCCGGGCCCGGGCGGGGGGCCGTGCGCTCCCGGACTCCCGGACGTCAGATGGCATCCAGAACATCGCAAGTATAGCAGCCGCGCGGAAGGTGCCAAATCGCGCTCTCTCGCCGGGGTCCCGTGCACTTTTTCAGGTTTGAGTCGAACGCACACTGCTCTGTGACTGCTTATGCCGGCATGATCCTGTTTTGAACCTTTGCTTGTGTGAGCTGTACTATTCAAACACCAAAACCAAGGCTGCTTCGCATACTCTGTGGAGTTGCACGCTACGAGATCCTAAGAGCGGCTGTCGTTGGCCTTTCTGAACCCTAAACCCGACCCAAGAATAGTTAGAGGCAGCGAAGGTGGTGCGGTCCCTCAAAATCCACGCAAAGAAAAAACCCTAAACCCCAAACTTAAAGCTTCGCTCCAGGGTGCTGGATCATGTGGCGCGCGTCTGCCGCGTCGCCGCTCCTTGCCAACTCAGGGTCACCCGACCCCCACCCCTAGCTCCACACACCCTCCCACCTTCACGATGATGAGGCGCAGGCCACAGCACACCTGGCAGGTTCAAACGGTGCCCTTAGCACATGCAGTCCTGTATTGTTTGTCCAGTTGTGTTTCTTTGGAGGGGCTTTAGGGATTTCGCGACTCTTCCTTACCGAAGGGCACTGCCTAGAGTTTTCTGGGGTGTACATCTAGTTCGCAGCTCGCTACTAGTCTGTGCCAGACGCGATTGTGGGCCGACTCTGCCCAGGTGCTTCTGGCTTCGGATTCGGGGCTGTGCCCCGAGCAGCCCGAACTTAAGAAGATTAGATGAGTTTATGATAAAAAACACGCTTCGACCACGGGACGCATTTCGGGTCAGGTGCGGCACCTGGCGGGGCAGCGGAGCCCGAGGTCTTCTCAGGGCTCGCAACCTCCATTGCGGCTGCGTGCGTTCGGGGCTTTCAAATGGCTGTCAGGGCTTCCGTTTCTTCAGCCGCAGATATGAGACTCCGCCCCTCACTCTCACTCAGGTCCACTAGATGCAACACAGTCGAAGCCCCAAATCTCGGGGGGGAAATGGGTTTCGGGCCAAGGGCTTGAAGGTCGTGACTTTGCAGTTTCAAGCGCAGGGTCTGGGGACATTGAACTGCATCTTGCTCCTCCTTCTTGGCTGAGGTACTAGAGGTCCGGGTACACTCATACTCGCTTCGATACATTGGGGTCCCGACATCCGAAGTCCACAATCTCCAGTCCAAAAACTCCCAGCGCAAGCACCCCAAAAATGAGAAAACCTGGATGCTGTCAGGTGCTCAATCCAGAACTCCCTACACAAATCCACAAGTGTCGCTGAGAGTCCCGGCTTCCCGAAAGGCGGCATCCGACAGGGATGAGCTACTCCTCACAGCTTTTCGAGGTCGGGGATGGTCAGGGCATGTGCGACGACTTTCGTGAGGGTTACCGCAGGATGGAAGGCCCCCAACCCCCAACTCGAAGCCGTTGACCTCGGGAGCTAGCAGCCCCGGCGGGGTGGTTGTGAAAGGGGGGGGGGTCTGCAGCTGGACATGAGAGATGAAACAAGACGTGAAGAGCAGCAAAACAATGCCCAAGTGCAGAGACCGAAACTCGGCTTTCTTGGTCATGCTGAAGCCTATCCAACATCCTCAGCCCCTACCCTCAAGCCTGACCCATCGCTATTCTCACAAGACGCGTGCGTTCCAAGATAGCCAACACCAAGCTCAGTCCTGTAAGCCAAGTGCCTCTAACAAACACCTGAAGCCTTCCCCCAAAACACAAGTCCGGAACTTGAACCCACAGCTATCGTCCCTATTCCAACCCCGCACCACGCTCGCAACGCCAAAGCTCTACCCCTTCACCACCCCAAATTCCGTAGTGCCAAGCACGTGAATGCGCTCATCCCGGGGCTGTGCAGCCTTGTTTTCGCCGCCTGGGCACCTTAGCAGATGAAGACCAACATGCGTGCTGCACTCGACGTCATGTTCGGAGGACGAACAAATTGCTGTTGAAAGTCCTGAACTTGCAACGCGACTGGCTATCCCACATTCCAAGCAATCGCTTCAACAGCCCCAAGCGCTCATTGCAAACCCTGGCTGCTGCAAGCAGGGGCCACACATCCCATTCGCACAACCCAAAGCCTTGCTGGGGTCCGCGCCGTGGACGCTACGCTTCACTGCCTGCTGAGAGAGTCGAAGCCGGGCTTTGGGTCGCATGGGTCTGAGTAACTGGGGTCCAGGGCGACAAACTGCGTAGGCCTTGGGCTTCGGGTATAGCAGGCGGTAGAAGGTTCTCTCAACAATGTACAGCACTAGACCGTCTCCGAATTTGTACAAGAATAGTCTCTGCGCGTCGTTCCGCACTAAACTTTAGCCCTCTGCTCATGCTCACACCGTAAGCTCTTGCTGCCCTAGCAGTCCTTCGCGCTAAGGCTTGACCTGCAACAATGAGTAAGACCCCCAAGTCCTATGTATGGGCCTGAAGCCTTTGGTCTCGAGAAGCGCCTGGTCCACCGACTCATGGATGGACTTGTTGGTGGCATCTGCCTGCCAAACTTGGACTTGAAAGAGCTTCGGCGTTGACGGCCCTCTGTGTGTGTGTGCTGCTTGATGAGCCCGCCGGCAACTGCCAGTGCATGCGACGCAGGGTAGTTCAGAGCTGAGAAACAAACACCCTCGCAGACACTCAGGCAGCCTTGTGCTGCCGCGCAAACCACTGCCAGACACCGCTGCCACAGAGGAGAAAACTCTCCATGGCAGGCTCGCGTCGCCGTGTCAACGCTATCTAGTCTGCCTGCTCTTGCTCCGGTAAGGCGTGCAAAGTTTGCTCTGCTTTGCTTGTTCCGTGGCTATTGCCTACACCTGGCAGCTGCCTTCGCCATTCAATACCGGCTCTTGCTGGTGAACAGCTGTGGCCAAAAGAGAGTTGCGGGCAAGTGACACAAACTGGCGTGAGCTGACGTGCGTCGTGCTCATGAGCAGCACTTATAAGTTATAAGCCGTGCTTCATAGACGTCTCCATTAGATGATGTGCCATGGTGAACAAGCGGTTGCAAGATCTTGGTTGCTAGGCCAGGGAAGAGACCCCCCTCTACAGCTCGGAGCTTTTCACTTGCTCAGAGCAGATCATCCTCAAAAAACCGCCCAAACTCCCAAACAGGCCTCACCCCTCGGACCCAGAAAACGACTGGCGCCTACGACTACGACTGCGACTAACGCTCTACTCTTGCACTGTTAGATCTAGTACTTTACTAGCACTGTACGAGTAGTGTACTACTGGTGCCAACAGTACTGGTAGCACTACTTTTTGATTTGTTGGAGTTTTCCACACCGTCCTACCCCAGCTTCACTTGACCACAAGCACGAGCACCGAAAATGTGCGCTCGGAAGGTTTTGCAGAGCCTGCCGTCACTGCAAGCCTGTATTGCTAATCAGGGCCAACAGGGCTTCTTCCAGCAAGCCTGTACCCCCCCCGAGCTGAGTTATTGCGCAAGTTTAAGGTTTCGCTCAGCAGCGCCTGCTTCTTCCAACCGCGATCGCTTTCCGTATCGGCAGCCCAGCCATGCGGACGGGAAACTCCCAGGTGCACTGCATGCACCGCGCGCACATCCCGTGGCTTGGGCTGGCACGCCTGCCTAGAACCTCGAAGTGACAAAATGTTCCTCAAATTGCTGATGGTACTTTGATGATAACGATAACGGAAATGACAATGATAAGATAAGTAATGATCAGGAAAAAACAATGATGACGGCAACGTCGATGCGTGTGTGGCATGCAAATGTACACAACCAGAACCCACGCGCCGCGCCCAGAACAGCAGCCGGGCATTTTGGCACGGTAGAAAGTACTCGCGTCTGGAAGTAGCGCCCCATCACCATCACCGGCCTCGCAAGCTGACTCATTTAGGGTTTGCAGACGAAGACTTCAGACGTCAGCCGTTAAACATGGAAGGCTCCGGCTTGGGTTTCGTGGGGCTGTACCGTGGGTTCAGGGCTTAGGATCTAGTTGCATCGCAGCGCTAAGCTAAGTTGAGCTTTGAGCATGGATGTGACACTGTCGGCTTAATGGGTCTTGGTCCCGTAAAAAGGGTGCCCTTTTTTGCTTACAGTAAACCCCCCTCAAAGGGAATAAGGGTATTCTGGGCATCCTAGCTTAAACATGCCAAGCTCCAAGCCCAATATTCCGAGCTCTGAAGCCCTAGGCCTTAAGCCCTCAGCCCCAAGCCCCAAGCCCTAAACTTAAACAACTTCCCCGAACCCCAGGTGCAGCTTGAGCTCTTCGATCCTTCGGAGGCGGCTTGGGGGGCCGGATCGGCATTACACCCTCGCCATGGATGTGGGGTAGACCCCAAACCCTTAACCCCAAACCCTAAACCCCAAACCCTAAACCCTAAACCCCGAACCCTAAACCCCAAACCCTAAATACCTAAACCCCAAACCCTAAACCTTAAACCCTAAACCCTGGCCTTTCGACATGGTCACAGGTGCACAGCCTCCGGCTCAGAGATTCAGAAGGTTTAGGGCTTAGCGTTTCGGTTTACTGGTTTCGAGGTTTGGGGGTTTAGGCGTTTAGAGGTTTAGGGTTGAGGGTTTAGGGGTCTAGGTGTGCACGGGTTGAGAGTTGAGGGTTGAGGATTCAGGGCTTAGCTGTCGGAGAAATGTCAGCAGTAGACTCAGTAGACTCAAACTTTTTGGCGTATTGTGATGCCCATATGGGCTTCTCTAAATTAGGTTCCCTTGTTGAGTCGTATAGCACGGCACCTTATGAAATGGACCCCCCCAAAAAAAACAAAAAAAAAGAAGGACCCTATGTTTGAGAACTACCCGTAGCATCCCAAAGGTTCACCTTCAGTTCCCCTCGGATGCTCGACTACGGTAGGTATAGACCAGGAATACGAAGAACCCCTGTGCCGATATCCCTAGACCCTAGACCCTAGACCCTAAACCCTAAACCCTACGCAGTCCGGGTTTCAATGCTTGCGGGTTTCCATGGGGCTTCATGTGAAGCCCCGCACGCCCAGCACAAAGAAAACATCCTTACTTCCACGTCCTGAACGGCAATCTGACAGTGTTTAGGGTGTAGGGTTTAGGGCTTAAGGTTTAGGGCTTATAGGGTTTAGGGCTTAGTAAAGGGTCTCGGGTTTTGAGTTTAGGGTTAGGCTGAAGGGTGTCCACACGCTAAACCCCTAGCCCCTTAGACCCTGGGGGGACCTCAGCTTAAAACCAGAAAAATCTCCTCCCCCAGGGGTTAGGGTTTAGGGTTTAGGCGTCCCTCCTCGGCAACCCTTTCACCTGATCTTCTGTCGGGCGTGCTAGACGCGAGCAACGGAGAATGGAAGCTTCAGCCGAGAAATATTCGAAGAAACGCGATAAGCCCAAAGCACTACACCCTATCTCCAAGACTTAAACCCAAAGCCTTAAATTCGAGTCCAAGTCCTAAAGCCGAAGCCCAGGCATAACCTTGGACTAAAAGGCCGAAACTTCCGTCCATAGAAGCCCGAAAAAAGTCCAAAAACCCACACCCGATTGGATTCCTTCGCTCAGGACATATGTTCACATGTTCGCCCCCGAGTCCCAAACTCCAGGCCCTACGCCGCTGCGAGAGGGGGAGAGAGAGAGAGAGGGAGAGAGAGAGAGAGAGAGAGAGAGAGAGAGAGAGAGAGAGAGAGAGAGAGAGAGAGAGAGAGAGAGAGAGAGAGAGAGAAGGAGAGACCAAGACTCCGCCTTTCGTATTGAGCTGAAATTGCAAAAACTCACAGCCATTAACCTCTTAACCCTAAAGCCTGAACTCCCAATACTTGGCACCTCGAGGTTCTTGCCCAACAACGAGTACTTTGCACCGTTGTCGAACAAGACCTGTTGCGGCAATGTATAAAAAGACAAGTCACTTCACAAAGCCGCAACTTTGCATTCCCAACAGCTCAAGCATCTGGGGAAGCCTCCACGCCTTCCGTCTGAGCCCGAATACCTTAGCAGCCCAGAAGCGCAACCCACCGGAAAGCACCCGTGCAGCTGCCTGGCACCGTGATCCGACTTCGGACACGACGGTGCCCAGCTCGCCATCGATCTGCTGAAATGTTCAAAAGGCGGTTCTTTCAGTTGCAGCACTAGCTCAAAGGAATCAAGTCTCTAGAGATGAAAGCCTTCTTTCGCCATAAACTCAGGGTTTGATGACAATAGTTTTGCAACTTGCGGACACGAACGCAGTTGTTGTGCTCTGGTCGGGTTTGAGGATTAAGACACCCCTGGCAGCGTTATTGAAAGCTCGATCTTGCGGGCTACCTGCGGGGACATCAAGGCCTCGAAAGATGTATTTTGTGGAGTGTTGTTGCTAGCTACACTAAGGGTCATCTGCGGACTCGAATTGACCCAGTACATGTGTGAGTGCTTGAACGCTTCAATCTTTCATCTCATGTGCAGGGGGCCCGAGGGCTCATCAGACAGCTCCAACGAAGTTCTGTATGGCTCCTGGGTGCCGTGGGCACAGCTGGATTGGTCAAACTGGGAAATTATGGTAATGGCGCACTCAAATTGGATACGAAACTATGGCAGATAGGCGCAAACAGCATAACCAGCAGTGCAGCCGTGCGCAATGTTGTTGCTGTTGCTGTTGCTGTTGCTGTTGCTGTT